CGCCTTGCTTAATTTTGCGTTCACAAGCTTCAAACTTAGTTATCGACTAACTGTAGTTAGCGGAGCTAATTAATCTTATTCTTCACGTTTTTTACTTTAGTGCCAAAAAAAAATGCGTTGGGATCAAGTTAGGCTAGCTACCAGAATGTGTTTGTTAATCCATAGACGATGGAGCCTCCGATGTTGGATGATTCGGTTTAGATCAAGTCGGGCAGACTAAGGTCGGCTTAAGGCCTGTTTGTTTCACCGAGTTTATGGAATAGGAATGGTATTTGGACCTGACAGTGGTGTTTTCGTAATTAATGGAATCCAACTGAATCCTAATCCTGAGTTTGGTTAAAAAAAAAATTATAGAATTGCTATTCTAGAAAGTGGCTCAAACAGTGGTAATTTCAAGAAACCCAAATCCAACCTTTTTGAGAGGAATTGGGCATGATTTCTGACACATCTCTCAATTCTTATTCCAATTCTTATTCCGATTTCTGACACATCTCCTAATTCTTTCTGAACCAAACATGATATTAGGAATTGGACCAATTCTATAAAAGTAAGATTTCTAATCCTTTGGGTGAAACAAACATAGAATGCAAAAAAAAGGGATTCCATAAAACTAAAACTTGTCTATAAATTTTATATGGATTAAGTTGGAATCCATAAATAAAATAGGATTCATAATCCTATTCCTAGCCTCTATTGAACCAAACAGGCCCTTAGCTGATGACAAAAAGATCTTAACACATGGACGGATCCAGGATTTCAGTTTCAGAGGGGCCGCGTACGAAAGATAGACGAAAAATCTTGAGGGAGGAGGCGTGACGTACGTATGGGTTTTGAGAAAAAGAATGGATATATTTTAATTTATAAGGGAAGAGGTTTTACAAAAACCACCCTATCTTTTTTTCCGGCGTGGCTCCACGTGGACTGTATATAGAATCAAAAAGATAATCAAAAAGAATCAGCGCACCTGGACTGGACACCTCCGAGATTCTGAGGAGCACCGCCAACGAATGTGCGGAGGGTCCCACCGCGGGGGCGCACACGTGTCAGCCGCTGAGTGGCCCGCTGGCTCCACGGACTCGTTCCGAGCTCAACTCCCCCACGCCTCTCTCTTCCTTCCCCTGCTCTTCCTCCTCTGCTTCCTCCTATAAATACACGCGCACACCACACATTACCTCCTCATTCAATTCACAAAGCAAAATAATAAGAGGGAGGGAGCTGCTCTCGTTGCTCTCAACATGTCTCGGGCCGCAACAAACGCCGGTCTCCTTGCGTTGATCAAGAGGTAATTATTAAATAAAATTTCAATCAATATCTACAACGTTTTTTTTTTTAGAAAAAGGATGGAACACCCCCAAAGAAATTCCAGCCAGCTAAATTAAAAGGATGGTTGTTACAAAAAATAGTTATGTACTAGAGTTCAAGAGAAATTACTACAAGTATCAGTACTTTATCCCCTATATACACAATATCTACAAAGATAATTTGCTTATGTATATCTTTCATTTTACCCGCAGAAGAACCTACTCAACCTCACGGCGGAGCCAACCCACTCCTGCCCTCCTCGGCGCTCGAAGGCTCTCCGGAGCCTCCGTCGTTCGTGGGTACCTGGACCCGGTCACTGGGAGGTCGATGCGGCCAAGATGAGGGAGACGCTGCTCCCTCGCGGGGGTCGGGACTAAAAAGAGCTTGAAAAGCTTGGTATATACTATACATCATGTTCCCTTCTGTTCTGTTGGGGGGTGGGGGAGGAAGAAAATGTAGAATGCAAGATTTAATTAATATGAAGTTTAATTATTGGCATTTTTTTTGCAAGAAGAATTAATTTGACACGCGTGCGTATGGCTCCAATTAAGATAAAATGTTGTTTGATAGTTTAGTAAAAGGAACGGAGGCAGACTTAATTCACCTTGTCCGGGAGTTCTAATAAAGGGGAAGGAAGTGGGATGAGTATATGTATAAAGTTACGTAAATATCGTTACATGCTATTAAGGCATTTTATCAGCTAACAAATTATAAGGGTAAAATTTCGAAAGATTTTCCTCCCCTCCGAATTGGGTGGTAGAGTAAGTGGAGGAAATCGAGCGTTAAATTTTTACAGAATTTCACCTTCTCTTCCGTCCTTTTAACCCCTCAAAAAAAAAAAAAAAAAAAAAACCCAAACAAAGATTTTATAAAACTTCACGTTCTCTCCCATCCAAAACACACTGTAACGGTATGAGAGCATAACTTGTGTTTTCAGGTAATATGATCCAATTATCAAGCGAAGGGATAAACTCATGCCCAAATTCATTAGTGGGTCCATGTAGGAAGCCAAAAGAGGGGGAGGAAAGTGCTAAAATATTTCACAACTTGTCCTTCACGCTCGGGATTTTTTAGTAAATACAACAATCACAAGTTGATTGCCGCCGCGATTCTAAACAATGCATGCTGTGCTACGTTGTGCTTGCTGACGCGCACTCGATTTTAAACAAATTTGGTCATCACAAGGAAACTGGGTCGGTTTTTGAAAAAAAAGTTCTCAAATTTTACGGGAGTTGAAGTCCCGTGAAGTTTTTTACATGACAAAAGAAATGCATCTGCTTTGTTTTGGTCTTGTGATTGCTGACACACAGTAATTTAGGGAAAAACAAGAAGTAGATAAGATAAAGAATTAAAAGGGAAAATTAATCTGATGGGCACACTGTAATTACGGCTTAGTTTACTAATAGCGTTTTTAAGAAACTAATCAGAGCCAAGAGGGAAGCTTGGCTTCTAAGTATTCCAAAAGGCCAAGGTATCCCCACCAAAAAAATTAAAAATTAAAAAAAAAGGAAAACCACCCAAAGCAGTTTCCTAATCCTGAATGCTTCCCTGTGCCAACACAATATCATTCAAGAATCTAGTCACCAGCAGTCTTGGCAACAAACACTTAATCGTATAAGGGCCGATTAAATACTTATTTAATCAAAATAATCAGCAAACCTGGAGACCTTCGAGATTCTCTGACGCGCGTCAGCGACCGAAAGGCTTATATTGCCTCCAATGGACTCATTCTGAAATCTGAACTCTGCTCCTTCACAGCTCTCTTCCTTCATGAGAGCTCTCCCTCATTACTCCTAAAATGCCTCGAGCAGCTCTCAACACTGGTCTCCTTGCATCGATCGAGAGTATTTTCGTAGAGCTACTCACTGCAAACAGAAGTTTACAGCATTAGATTCTGATACTTGGCCTACAAAAACTTAAGCTTAGCTAAACAAGAACCTAGATGAACAATAACCCATCGCGACACAACTTGCATTTTCAGGTAATACTGGTTTCAACTGTCAAGAAAGGGATAAACTCGTGCTCAACTCAGACAACCATGAACAGAAAAAGTCAGTTTACATGATCATATACAAAAAAAAAAAGAGTCAATATTTGAAAATTGCATGATATATAATCCACCTAGAAGTCAAAAAGAGAAAGAAAAAAAAAGTGCTAAATTTAAAGTGCTAAATTTGCGGCATTTGTCCTTCATATTCCAAACATAATAAATATAATCGCAACTCGATTGTCGTTACAAGTCTACAGCTATATACGGTATTGTGATTAATGATACATAGTCCACTCAAAAACTCTGTTTTCGTTTTGTGATTGCTGACACATAGTGAATTTAGAGGTAACCAAAGATCAAACAACTATAGTAATATATATAATTAGCACAAGCTGATGATTAAACAACAACTGATTAAAAATTAAGAAAGCGAATCCCTATAGGACAAGTAAACTCCAAGCTGCTACTATTATAATAACTTGCAACAACAATTAGAAAACAAAAAAAAGGGGGGGATAAGATTAAGAATTCAAAAGTGATTCAATGTGGACAAGGGAACAGGGTGCATTGAAACAAAAGATTTAATACTGAAGAAGAAATTAAAGAAAAGCACTGATTCATCCTAAGTTACCAGTACATTAACTAATATTTTTCTGGTGCTGCTTCTCAATAATATCAAATGGCAACCAACCAATCATGAAAGAATAAATCTATGACCCCAACATGGAGTTAGGTAATCATTCAGGCACTAAGCTATCTATTGGCATTCAGAGAATCAATACAAAAAATAAAAAAACTATGGAGAATGTGTAGCAAAATTACTTGGTCTTTCTCTAAACTTATAGCAGACCCATGTGAAACTGTCCCTGGACCCAAAATAAACATGAGAGGTCTCATAGAGTTTAATTTTCTAAACACTAGAGAGATTAAGAAAGATATAAGAACTTGGATGACAAAGAAAGAAGGATATAAATTATTAGAGTTTGACTTTTAATTTGGATCAATCGACACCACTAAAAAAAAATGGGAGAGAAAAAGAAAGTCAAACAGGCTTGGTCCTGAATATAATAACCTTTCCACTTGATTCAAGATAAGGTCCTAAAAGATCAGAGTGTTTTGTCTATAATAAATTTCTACAGGTTTGTATGGACATTTGAGACCTTTGCGTTTGCATTAAGGTCTCAGTTCATATCATACAATAACATAATAAATAGGGTTTTCTAAAACCACCTTCAAAGTAGGGTCATAACTACCTTTCATTTTCAATTTATACGTAAATCATCTTTAAAACAAGTTTTTGATCCAACAAACCACCTCCTAGTCAAAATTTTCACTAGAAACCCAAAAATACCCTTTAAAACTCACTTTCAAGACACGCTACTCATTTTATTAATATTTATGTCTAGTTATTATACAAGTCACGTACCTTAAACATGCTGTTTTTAAACTTATTTTTTGTCTTTTAGTGAAAATTTGACTAGGAGTTGGTTGATTGGAATAAAAACTCACCTTGAAGGTTTATGTATAAATTAAAAATGAAAGGATGGAAAATGAAAGGTGGTTTCCGTATAATTAAAGTGGAAACTATTTTAAGGTGGTTTCCAAAAAAAAAACCCAATAATACACATTTGTTTCTTTCACAGTGTCCAGCAAACATTATTACCTTGAACCATACATGCAGATTGAATCAAATTGAGAAAATCAAGACTGCTTAAGAAACGAGCAAGAAACAAAAAGATTGATACACTAACCTTCACCATTTTCACATAGATATCAGAAAACTGAGTACTGATCTAAATTATACAACTTCGTTGAAAAATATATGTCGGCAAAATGTTCCAAAATCAGCAGCAACAAATTGAGCTGAATCAGTAAAACACAAAATGGCCGACCTAGAAAGCTGGAATTTACAGAAACAACATCTTGTTGTGGCTCTAACTCTACTTCCACTTAAAGTTTACTTGAACAATGTATCTCATCCGTATCTGTTCTACATTGTAGACGATGTATTCATTGTACAACAAGCTACCCTGAAAAAGATGGATTATCCATTTTAGTTCATGATAACATTTTCCTTTTGTTTCGAAGGTTTGATGCTCATGAAGAAAAAACATCACCTGTTTCTCTGTATTTTCTTTAGGTTTTCCGAGTGGGACAACTACACCATCTCTGAGAGATTTGGCTTTCGACATGTCTGGAGCCGTCACGCCAACTCCTTTTGTACTGCAAAATGATGACAGATAAGAACAGGATTCATGTAGCCAACCCCCAAAAGTGGGATAAATGCTTCACTGTTGTTGTTAATTTGTTGATTTTTCAAACTGGAGCAGATGACTGTTTAGCTATCAAAGCAAAGAACATATTCAAAAATCTTAAATGAAACTAGAATAAAGAAAAAGTTTGAATAAAGAAAACTAGAACGCCGTTTAGATCATGAAATAAGCTGAGAAATAGTAGTTACAGGCAGCATTGCGTTTTTTTATGACTATAGTTAGATAAAGGCTCAAAACACCAGCCGATATCAATATACATGGAAGTATTGAATCTGATTTTAAACATCCTGATTTGATCCGGCCCAACAGGTGCGTATCCAAACTATCCAATAATGTTATAAGGGAGAAAATCAATGTAGATATCTTTTGATCAACCAAACTGGTGAAACTCTCCATACTGCACTTGATACTTCAAACTTGGAACTGCTGATTTCAAACCGAGATTTCAAACTGATACTATAAATTATTAGCAAACCAAGATTTCAAACCTTCATACGGATGAACCAGTCTTATGACCTATAGGAACTTGTTTACATAATGGAGTTGATAAATATAAACTGTCAACTTCGTGAAATCTAATTTGCTATGATTTGCTTTCTCATGCAATACCTTCCATTTGGTTTGGTTATGTTTCTTCAAATCCAATTTTACATATTATGACTAGATTGTATGCTAAGCTTAAACAATGCAGAAAAGAATAATAAGAGATTATGCAGAAATGTACCTCAGTTTTCCCTCTGGCAAACGATCAGCATTGTAATTTGCAGCTAACTGTTCAGCCATACCACCTAGTGCAACCTGAAAAGTAATCATTATTCAACAGAAAGTTTTCTGACAGAAGGTCTCCAGGAACTGAAATTAACAATGCAAACATTATCATCAGCAAGCTAACCTCACATAAAAGCAGCACACCAGTTGAACATTCTTTTGAGGCAAAACAATAATTTGCACTCTTTGAGAACATATCAGCAAAATAAACCCCCTTTCCAAACATGTACCCTGTGGATGGTGCTTCTGGAGGAGCAATCCGCAATCCTGTTGATTGGTTAACATAATAACAACTATTCAGCCTAAATATACTTTATTATGGAGCAGATCCACTGATTTGAAAAAATTAGATCTCAATTTAGATACATCCTTCCTATAATCTCAGACATAGTACTTTCCCTTCGCAACAGATCTGAAAGAACTGGAAATGAGAATACAAAAGTGCATAATAATGAAATGAATCATCTTCAAATGCTCATCTGATGATGAACAGAACAGTAAGAGAAACAAAAATATCAAGGGAGAATCTACGACATCATCTGATGATGAACAGAACAGTAAGAGAAACAAAAATATCAAGGGAGAATCTACGACATAATAATGAAATGAATCATCTTCAAATGCTCATCTGATGATGAACAGAACAGTAAGAGAAACAAAAATATCAAGGGAGAATCTACGACATTGCAGATTGAGCTAGTTCGTCCATCCATCCAAACAATCGCCTTATAAAGAGGCAACCCCGTCGACTTGCTCCAGATGACAGTCGTCTCTCTCTGATTTGGAGCGGTGGAGCGGGGGTGAGCGGAGGAAGCGGGCAAAGAAGTCGGCGAGGTCGAGGCCGCAGAGCGAGATCTGGTGGTTGCTGACGAAGAAGACGGGGTTCCCGGCCAAAGAGGG